GAACTAAGGTGAGGTTCTGATAAAACACACACAGAAGGGCTTATAACAGTCCTTGGCACATAGCAAGTGCTCCATAAGTGCTAAATGTTATAGATATGACAGAATTAAAAGGATGGATGAACCCAAGGAAATGCCACCTGGTTCACATCTCACGGCAGGCAGCCAGCCCGCTTCACTTGGCGCCACTTTTACCTCGTTCACATTTCTACACTCACTCCATTATGTGCCAGAGAAAATGGGAAGGGAGGTAGTTGGCTGTTCCCCTGGAAAGAACAGAATTATACTGATTAGTCATTCCCACACACTGTAGTGTAGTTTCTGCCAGAGTGCCACGTTTGCTCCCTAGAAAACAAATGCAGCGAGGGCAGCAGAGACACCTTGGGCTGTAGGTATTGATCAGAGGCAAGGATTCTGCAGGTGACTAAGGATGGAAACCTACCCGGGTCTCATGGTGTGGATGGTCCTGGCTGTGAAACTGTCCAGACATCCTACCCTGCTATACCTCTGCCCTTGGATGCCTCAGCCACACCAGCTGCTCCTGCATCCTTCTAAGGTGTCCTGATGTCTCCTGCCATTTGAGTCAGTGATCTTCAAGCCTGATCTCAGCTACCAGCTCTTTTCAAGGCCTGTCCTGTCTACCCACATCTGGTCATCCTGCTGGCAGCCTAGGACCCTGAGTATTCTATCTCTGCATCAATAGTGATAACGGCAGCAGTAACAGTGACAGAGGTGGCCACACACACAGTCAGATGCAAACTCCAAGAATTCAGGGATGCTGCTCATTCTGTGTTCTGTCACAAACCTTGCCATCCCAGATATGTAGTGTGCGGTCATGGACCCCATGAGGAAGAAACAGAATAATCCTCACATCACAAAGTAAGTGAAGAAGGTCAAGTACCACTAACAAGTCCAAGAAAATACTGCCTGGGGAGGATAGATGCTCCTGACTTGCCATGGGGTTCCATCCTGACGGAACCATCATATCTTGAAAAGATGGTATGTGGGAAATCATTTACTATACCTAATCTCACCACCACCATAGCTTAGTCCCCCAGCACACTACAGTGTAGAATGTATGTCAGTTGTCCCCTATGACTGGGAGCTGTGGTCATGGTGTTGCCCAACACCAGAACAGGGGATCATACTGCAGGGAAATTAGCAAGATTCAGAGTTTGAAGCATGATTTCTATGGAAGGTTTGTTGTTTTTGCATCACTGAAAAGTTGAAAAAATGGAAACAGGAA